CTTTTCTGTCCGACTAGTTGGGTGATACTAAAACAATTAGACCCTTCGCCCTCAAGGGCCACGGTTCAATAGCCCATTCGGCTTCGCCTCATGGGCTCTTGACCCGTAGCCCTTGCGGGCTACGGGTCTAATTGTTAATTAGCGCGTTTCCGCCATAATTATTGCGAGCTGCGGGAAGCTGTCACGTCAAAAAATAACTGTGGGAGATGGAGAGTAGGGTGGACGCCAGCGCGCGTTAGATAGCCCGTAAGGGTACGGTAGGAGTACGATCACGCAGTCAAACATTGAAAAAGACGGCAACATTAAAAGACCGCCGTGAAAGTATTTGAAGACAAAATCGACCCAAGTTGTAAAAACATATTTCGACTCTTTGTGTTTGTCTAGTTTCATGGAGGCAAAGAAATTTCGAGATTCAGCGCGAGTTTTCGTATTGCGTTCAAACTGTTTGCACAAAGAGTTGCTCCCTTTTCTATTTATTATGTTATATAAAAGCAATTAATATTTATGAGAAAAATAATCAGGAGACAAAGGTAAACTCTTCGTTATTTTCATTCTTCTATTTACTCTCATGTTGTATGCTCTTTGTGATTTCTCGAGAATCAATTTATGGAAAAATCTCACTGGTAGCGGACCTGCAATTTTGACGGTTTGTTGAAATAGACCTAATATGTTCTAAAATAAAGTTAATTCATTCTATTCTTTTACAACAAAATTGTATTTCTGCAAGCGAAAATGACCTATACGCAATTAAGCAAAGCAGTTGCTGAGAAAATCCGGCTTGAGAAAACTTAAAAATTTGTTACATATCTTTATCATTTTTACTTTAGTGTATGAAGTATTTTAACCATCAAGCAATTAGAAGTGTAAATTTTTAGTAATTCTTAGTTTATAATGTGTCCTCAATTTGTCCCTATCGCGATAAAGTATTTGACACGTAAATAAAGTTTCTTACTCACTTACCCACTTTAACGTAATTGTCACGCTGGTATTTGTTTTAGGCTCCTGGCCTTTTCTGAGCTGTTGTATACCGGCAGTTATTTTTTGCAGATTGCAGGTTGCAGGTTGAAACGACTTGTTTATTTGAGTTGAAGTCGAATAAACCTGAGTATAAAGGCTAACCGCAAGCAACCTAAGCTAAATTAGGCTAACCGGAGTGCTATTTAGGCTAACCAGACTCACTCAGACTTAAAAGTCGATTTGTCAACCTGCAACCTGCAAAACATACCTGCCCGTTGTATACCGTTATTAGATTACTCTACTTGTTTTATATAAAAATTTTTCATTTTCGCTATTGCACATGAGGTCAGAGAGACGTGTATTTTAAAATAGACCTATGAAAGTGAAAAACTATATTCAGTACTTCACGTCCTCCTTGGGTGGTGAAAGAATTTTTCTCTGTGTGTCATCGAAAAGTTCGACCATGCATTCGTGACTTACGGGTCTAATGAGTAAAATGCGATCAGTATCTTTACATGAATTGTCATTATACATAATAAAAGTTGAGCTTGATACCGGCTCGACGCCAATATCTGCCGCTAGCATTCCTATATAGGCGTCGTCGATTTTCAACGGCTTCACAACATCGAACATTTGGGTGAATTTTAGAACGAGATCTTTCGAAAGCACATACCCACCGCCTGATATATAATCTTTGTAGAAATCCCCCGGATGATCCTCTTTTGAGACTGCGTAATATCCTGTGCGAAGAACAGGGCTACCGTGCATTAGATGTCCGAAATAAAATTCTGTATTGGACGACCCAGTTGCACTCAGGAAGTCAATGAGCCCACGGGTGTTGACAAAAACATCATCGTCGGTTTTCAACAAGTATTGGAAGTTATTGCAGTATTTCGCGGCCCATTCGAAGCCGGATTGTACTTTGAAGACTTTATTGTCGAAAGTTTCTTTGTAATCACCTTGAATAATGTCGCCAAATATTTGCGCCTCGCGCGAAATTCGATCCGACATGGCAACGTTTTGACCCTCGCCGATCAAGAAGACCGTCTTCCATTTCCGGTGCAAAGCGTTGTCAGTTCCCCACGTATGACGAATAACCATTCTGTTCTGATAAGCCTCAGCGAAGCTTGCAACGATTATCACAAGAAAAAAGCCCTGTTGGCACATTGTTCGGGTTAATAAGCGAGTTCGATGTTTGCGAACTTCCTGCCAAGAGTCTGAAAACCCATCATCGTCACTGGAATGTTTATCAATCCGTCGCTCGGCTGGTCTCGCGTGAGTAGGTTCCACAACAATGCTCCGAGAACCAGCTAACCGCTTCCCAATCTGACCTTCTTCTTGCAGTTTCATCTTCATAGATTCAACATAGTTGGTTAGTCCTTGACTCGTCAGCCACAATGAGATGCACAGCATCGACAGTGAAACTGTTATGCATAGAAATATGCATGATGTCGTTGTCACCGAAAATGGACACTTTGTCGAAGACTTCATCGCACTTGTCGGTTTCAGTCAACGAAAACAAACAACGGTTGCTTACAGTTGATTCTGTTTCAGCCTTTGTTGATTCCAAAGCAGTTTTACGACATAATAATTCCCTCCTTCCCTCTGGTAGCAATCGCTATGTCAAACACAATCATATATTAACTATGTAAACGTAACGCGATATTTTGACATGTCTGTTATTTGTTAACTAACATTTTATAAATGTGTCATTTCAGCTGACCTCTCTAGTGAGTAAAGGCAGGTGCGAAGATTTTTTTTTAAAAAAAA